ATTAGTTTGACAAAAACAACTCATTTAATGTTATCTAAATCACCTAAGTGTTCAATTCTCAAGTCCAAATGGATGAATTTCAGTTCCCTTTAATTTTCATCCCGTTTCCTTTCCTTTTCTCTAACTTTCTCTTTTAGCTCCCAAGGAGAAAGTTTCTCTCTAACTCTTCTCGTCCATCTCCAACCACCTCTCTTTCGATCTTGGAACTAATTAGTTTAGGCAACTAATCGTTTCACTGGCTTAAGTGGCCAAGTTTAACCCAAACTAATCTGGCTTGCCTCCAAGAAAGAGATTTTACTGAGTAATTGTGGCATAACTGTATTAGTTTAACTTAAGCACCTCATTTACGGTTTTCTAAATCACCGTAGTGTTCAACTCTCAAGTAGAAAAGAATGATTTAGAATTCCCGTTAATTTTCATCCTATTTACCATTCTTTTCTCAAACTTTCTCTTCTAGCTCTCATAAAGAAAGTTTTTCTCTCTAACACTCTCCGTACTTCTACTTCCCTCTCTCTTTTGCTCTAGGAACTAACTAGCTTAGGCAACTAACAGTTTCACTACCTTAACTGAACAAGTTTAACTCAAACTAATCACGCTTGGCCTCCAAGAAAGAGAATTTATTGAGAAATTGTAGCTTAACGTTATTAGTTTAGCTTAGGCACCTTGTTTGAGGTTCTGTAAATCACCTAAATGTAACATAACGATATTACTTTAACATAAGCAGCCCATGTAATCTTTTCTACATCACCTAACTGTTCAATTCTCAACTCCAAAATGATGAATTTGAATTCCCCTCAATTTTCATCCTATTTCCCTTTTTTTGCTCTAACTTTCCCTTCTAGCTCACAGGAAGAAGGATTCTCTCTAACTCTCCCCGTCCTTCTCCACCGCTCTATGTTTTGTTCTTGGAACTAATTAGTTTAGGCAACTAATTGTTTCATTTTTTTAAGTGACCAAGTTAAACCCAAACTAATCTTGGTTGGCCTCCAAAAAAAAAAAATTTTATTGAGTAATTGTGGCTTAACGATATTAGTTTAACAAAAGCAACTCATTTAATGTTATCTAAATCACCTAAGTGTTCAATTCTCAAGTCCAAAAGGATGAATTTCAATTCCCTTTAATTTTCATCCCGTTTCCTTCTCTTTTCTCTAACTTTCTCTTCTAGCTCGAAGGAGAAAGTTTCTCTCTAACTCTCTCCGTCCATCTCCAGCCACCTATCTTTCGTTCTAGGAACTAATTAGTTTATAGGCAACTAATCATTTCACTGCTTAACTGGCCAAGTTAAACTCAAACTAATCTTGCTTAGCCTCCAAGAAAGAGAATTTACTGAGTAATTGTGGCTTAACGATATTAGTTTAACTTAAGCACCTCATTTACGGTTTTCTAAATCATCCTAGTGTTCAACTCTCAAGTAGAAAAGGATGATTTAGAATTCCCGTTAATTTTCATCCTATTTACCATTTTTTTTGGGGTGAATAAGACATAGATAAAAGAAAAACAGAGAATACATAGCTACAAGGGGCATGCCCTAGGACCTAACCTATTTACCATTCTTTCCTCAAACATTCTCTTCTAGCTCTCACGAAGAAAGTTTTTCTCTCTAACACTCTCCGTACTTCTACATCCCTCTCTCTGTTGCTCTAGGAACTAACTAGCTTAGGCAACTAACAGTTTCATTAGCTGAAGTGAACAAGTTTAACTCAAACTCACGCTTGGCCTCCCAGAAACAGAATTTACTGAGAAATTGTAGCTTAACGTTATTAGTTTAACTTAGGCACCTTGTTTGAGGTTCTGTAAATCACCTAATTGTGACTTAACGATATTACTTTAACTTAAGAAGCCCACGTAATGTTTTCTACATCACCTAACTGTTCAATTCTCAACTACAAAATGTTGAATTTGAATTCCCCCCAATTTTCATCCCATTTCCATTTTCTTTGCTCTAACTTTCTCTTCCTAGTCCCATGGAGAAAGTTTCTCTCTAACTCTCTCCGTCCATCTCCAACCTCCTCTCTCTCGATCTAGGAACTAATTAGTTTTGGCAACTAATCGTTTCACTGGCTTACGTGGCCAAGTTTAACTCAAACTAATCTGGCTTAGCCTCCAAGAAAGAGATTTTACTGAGTAATTGTGGCATAACTATATTAGTTTAACTTAAGCACCTCATTTACGGTTTTCTAAATCACCCTAGTGTTCAACTCTCAAGTAGAAAAGGATGATTTAGAATTCCCGTTAATTTTCATCCTCGTTACCATTCTTTTCTCAAACTTTCTCTTCTAGCTCTTATGAAGAAAGTTTTTCTCTCTAACACTCTCTGTACTTCTACATCCCTCTCTCATTTGCTCTAGGAACTAACTAGCTTAGGAAACTAACAGTTTCATTACCTTAAGTGAACAAGTTTAAGTCAAACTAATCACGCTTGGCCTCCAGGAAAGAGAATTTTCTGAGAAATTGTTGCTTAACGTTATTAGTTTAACTTAAGCACCTTGTTTGAGGTTCTATAAATCACCTAATTGTAACTTAACGATATTACTTTAACTTAAGCAGCCCATGTAATGTTTTCTACATCACCTAACATTTCAATTCCCAACTCAAAAATGATGAATTTGAACTCCCTTCAATTTTCATCCGATTTCCCTTTTCTTTGCTCTAACTTTCCCTTCTAGCTCTCAGGAAGAAGGATTCTCTCTAACTCTCCCCGTCCTTCTCCATCGTTCTCTGTTTTGTTCCACGAACAATTTAGTTTAGGCAACTAATTGTTTCATTTTCTTAAGTGACCTAGTTTAACCCAAACTAATCTTGATTGGCCTACAAAAAAAAAAAAAAATTTATTGAGTAATTGTGGCTTAACGATGTTAGTTTAACAAAAGCAACTAATTTAATGTTGTAACACCCTCAAAATAATAACAATAAACCCATCAATATAGACATGCATCGATATATAAAAGTCCCACATTCTGCTATTCATCAGAGTTTCATTACAAAAAGTATTACATGTTAACAACAAAAGCAAATGCCCTAGGGGCTTACATTTTTCCAAGTTAACACTTGGATACAAAAAGGGAGCACTAGCTAAATTACACCTTAAACCCTTGGCTTGAATTTACATGTAATACATCAGAAGAGAAAAGACAACAAAAGACCATCCGCCTGAAGCCTCCCAAGCTATGTCCTTGGAGGTGGCATGCTACCTGTACCTGAAAATGATGTTCCCATATAGGGTGAGCCACAGCCCAGTAGAAATACACTAAACCAAATATGAACAATGACTAAAAGATTAGCAGTTGATAGATGGCCAACACTGATACTTTCACTTATAACACTTTACGGTTTCATGAAATACAAGTCCATGTTACAGTCCATTTTCCAATTCTTTTCAATTCTCAATTTATAACCATGGCTCAGAACCTGGCCAAACAACTTATATGAGACAGTAACTTCATATTAAACACTTTCCCATCTCATAATAGATAAGCATACTGTCACGCCCCAAACCGCCCCTAAAAGTTTGGGCATGACCCGTTTAAAAAGCGAACACTTAACCTGTAGTAAATAACATTTGGGGCCTCATCGGAAGCATAAAAGTAGGAATAAATTATACATATAAATTCCATTGAGCTACATCTACATGCCAGGACCTCTTATACATCACATTCATCATGGAAAATAGATAAAGCTCCAAACCATATGTTGTAGCATCGGTGATAAACAACCATATGTACAGACCCAGCCCCATCATTGGGCTTATATAAAATCATTGAAGTTCTACCTCTTTAACTTTAAATGGGTAATCAAAATTAAGCCAACATTTCAATAGACTTTACAAAAATAAATGGCTTCGTGCAGTGCCTGAACCCACGAAGGTTGACAAAAGAAAAACAGGTGTCATGACTAGGACTGACCACTGGTTGGTTACCTACAGAAACAGACATTAGACAGAGTGAGCCAAGCTCAGTGAATAGTAATACATAAATTAAACGATGCTTAAAATGAAACATAACACATAGCAATGCATATAAAGATGTAGAGTTCACATAGTTAGTGTGATTCTGTGCTACGTACATAACGGCCTTAAGTTCAATCTTGCAACATAAACATGGTGGCTATAAGCCCTTGAAACATGGTGGCACAAGGCCCTTGAAACATGGTGGCTATAAGCCCTTGAAACTTGTGGCACTAAGGCCTTTGAAGCATGTGGCATAAAGCCCTTGTAACATATGGCACTAAGGCCCTTGAAACATATGGCATAAAGCCCTTGTAAAGTTTGGCATGAAGCCCTTGAAAAGTTGGCTGAAGCCCTTGGACATGCATATATGAACCCAAGAGGTGTCGCACCACGGACTCTAGAGGTAACTCATAATGTAGCACTTAGTTCCGTGTAGCACTTTGTTTCATTTCATAACAACTTATACGGATGGCTATAAGCCTCATAACTTTCACATATGTATGGACTCAAGAGGTGTCTCACATGGACTCTAGCGTGGCTCACAATGTAGCACTTAGTTTCCAAGTAGCCTTTGTTCCATACCAATAATCATTAGGTCTTACTGACCAACCACACATGTAATGTCATACCATAACGAAAATAAATTCATACATATTCATTATGCTTGAATCATTAACAGAAATCAGAATTCATACTTACTTATACTTAGCATTTTAATAGCGCTGGCAAATCAATAAAAAGCATTCTTGTTAGTTCCATAAAGAAATTCCTCAATATTGTGAACTTATAGTACACTTGAACTTGTACATAGGTAAGCTTGTAACGTATCTTGTAGCATACTTAAGCTTGTGTCGTACTTAAACTTGTAAAATATTAAGCTTGTAACGCACTTAAACTTGTAACATACTTAAACTTGTAACAACTTAAGCTGTAACGTACTTAAACTTGTAACATACTTGAGCTTATACATGCGTACACTGGTAACATACTTGAATTTATAACATACATGAACTTGTAACATGCGTCTACTTGTAATATACTTGAACTTATAACATGCGTGAACTTGTAACATGTGTCTACTTGTAACATACTTGAACTTATAACATACCTAAACTTGAAAATTTGTAACATATTTAAACTTGTATATACTTGTACTTGTAACCTTACTTAAACTTGTACATACTTGAACTTGTCACATATATAAACTTGTAACATTCTTGAGTTTGTAACATTCTTGACTTATAGCATACGTAAACTTATAACGGGCTTAAACTTAGAACATACATAAACTTGTAACTTAATTATTTGAACCACGGTATTATTACCTCTGGGTAGGGGCCTTGTGCTAAAGATGATGTGAATACTTCTACATATATGAATAATCATTAAGTTAATAGAAACCAGAACATTTCTTGTTATATCATGTCATTATCATGCACTTAACAAAATAGAATAATTCATATTCTTATGTGGGTTGCATACTGATGGTAAACCTTTACTTTCATATCATATATTCTAAACGTTCTTGGGTCCCTTCGTAACATAATCTTAGATTCACACAAATATCATTCTTCAAGGATGAACATAAGTTCCACTTATTCTTTAAGAAATAACATAGTGTGCTAATAAATAACAAACGGCTAATATTCACAGAACATAAGGATTCCGAAATCATACCGACGTATGCGAATCTTTCAGCGTTCATATAAGTTCACATTGCTTTCCAATTGTCATAAATGTTCGTATAATACTTACAAAGAACAGAGCATTAGTGACAATAATTGTCAATGGTAGAGAAAAAATGTACATTTTTGTACTACTACTCACAGTGATCGGTTCCCGGTGGTAATGGTACAATGTCCTCGTCTCGACCTACAATTACAGTGTACAACACATAATATGAGGTTATACTCGATCCTTTACTTATTCTCTTTGATCGTTCAATCAATTAGTCATGGTGGTACCAAGCTCATTATTCTTTAATATGTTGTAATCCATGTCTTACAAAATAGGAGAAATCGATAGGAATTGGTTTAGGTGAAGAAATGGTACATAACTAATTGACATAACGTGAATAGTCGTCACTAATTTGGGTATAACTTTTTCTGTATTTAGAATTTGGGAGTGAGACTAGTGCCATTGGAAACTAGACTTCCGGGGCTTGATTTTAGGCTCAAGAATCACTCAAAACGGAGTCCGAATGCAAAAGATATACCTATTCAAAGTTGGCTGGACAGAGCTGTCTACGTACGTGCGGGTGAACAGTGCCGCACGTGCGGCCCTGGACAGCAGCAGTCCGAAAATGGCTGAAATTGTGGGACTTCTCATTTTCAAAAATCAAACCTTAATTACATGTAAATCAAAGCCCAAAACCCTTTAATACATGACTAATTTCACATTATTATTCTTCATCAAACACCATAATCTCACAATAAACAAATTTAATGATTTTACTTCTTCAATCAAGGAATTCTTAGAAAATCAAGGTTCATGGGTTCAAAGCTCACATCTTCTATATCAATCCATGATTTCAAGTAGTAGATGGATTCTATACAAGGTTAGTAATTAGAGCCACATACCTTACCCAAACCTTTGTTCATCCCTTAGTCTCTTCAATTTTTCCCAAGCTTTTGGTTGATCTTTCCTCTCTCTTCTATCTTCTTCAACCATCTTCAAGCTTCCATGGATGTTGAATTCCTTAGGGAGAAGCTTTGCCTCTTCTCTCTCTCCCTCTCTCTCTCTCACGGTTCTCCTTCCCCTTTCTCTAGATATTTTTATTTTTTTGTTTGGTTCAAAATAGATGAGTTTAACAACTCATAAGGCATATATGCATATATAAAAGCTTCCCACAAATAGGAAGGGCCAAACACGCCCTTACGAATCGCACAAAATCACATTTCAATTAAACTTCCCAGATAACTCTAAAAATTATACTAATCATAAATATGTCCCCTGTTCCGGTATCTGAAGTCTTTAAGGCCTTTAATTTGCAGTATAAAGTTAATCACCCAAACTTCCATTAACGAATCAGACAAATTAAATTTCAAATTAATTTTCCCAAATAATTCCAAAAATTCCCATCAACATATCCAAGTACTCAATTTTGATTTTTTGAACCCATAAAGGTCGGTAATTCCCATTTTAAGTCCGTAACTCAACTGATAATGCTTCAATTCTAATAGATATAATTAAATTAAACCACATCATTTCATAGGGAAATAAAGATGATTTCTTATACGCATTTTGAGGTCATTACACATACTAGCTATATCACACACCAACAGATAAGCATACAAGCTATATCATCACTTCCATAGATATGCATAAGAGCACTATCACACTTCCAAGGACAAGCATATGAGCTGTATCAACATATTACTAGATAAGCATATGAGCTCTATCTATGGAGTCCATCCCCTATCTTCTCCCAACAACATCCGGTTTAGAGGTTCATCCCCTATTTTCCACTAAACCGTGGAGTACATACCCTATCTCCTCTAACACGACATAGTGCATATAAACAATAATTATACACATCATCACACAATACATAAATTTAATGTATTCTTTCAACCGTCATACTCAATGACACATTCTAGTGATTAGTTTCAGTTTGCCTAATCATCATGCATTGTCTACAATAATCAAGACTATCCTCCACCGATAGCCCAAAGTAGTTATTTCTATACAGAAAATAAATGCAACAATGGATATATAATCAACATTTCAACTAGGTGAGCGATAAATAATCCAACCACACCCTTTAATCCCATACCTTTCCAAATCAATTCCTCATTTCTCATAATTAATTATGCGAATTAATTAACCAATGTAATTAGGGCATTTTCCATAATTAACATTACAACCCTTAGGTTCCATTTTCATTAATGTACTTTCACAAAATTACCAAACCAACCCTAACATCTCAAAATACTAAAATTTAAAGACAAAGCCCATAGGGAGGAGTAGGTTATCCCTACCTCAAAAGATGACTCCCAACCAAGAAGGTGAAGAAAACAAAAATGCTCCAAACCACGAATTTCTCGGGTCAAAAGATAGCCCTCGACGATCAACAACCTTTTTGTAAAGGCCAAAGGTGAGGAAATCACTCCTACTAGATCAATACCTAGAGAGAAGGTAGAGTTCTAGAGTGAGAAGCTCAACAATGGGGTTTTTGGGAAAGTAAGAGAGAGAAGAAAAGTGAAAAAGTGATTTAAAATGACCCAGCGGATAACTCATATACGCATGACCCGCTCGAGCGTAGAATAGAGCGCTCGAGCGTAAAGCGCAAACATCTAATCCCGCTCGAGCGCATAGATAACCGCTCGATTGCCAAGAAACAAAAGCAAAACACATCCGCTCGAGCGCAGATTTTCATCTCCCAGAACTTTACAGGAAAAGGACTACCCGCTCGAGTGCCAACAATACCGCTCGAGCGCGACCCGCTCGAGCGCAAGAAACCCGCTCGAGCGTAGAAAACACACCTGCAGAAGTTTTGCAGGGCCACGAAATACTGGAAGCGTGTAAACCCCGCTCGAGCGCAATAAGACCCGCTCGAGCTGAACGCCTAAAAACTGGGCAACAAGGAATTGAAACCAAGGCCTAACCAACCTGTAACAACCCTGCCCAAAACATCCTAAAACTCAATCAAGCGGAATTAAAGGACGACAACAAGATAGATACAACTACCAACTTCACGGAACCGAGTCCGGAATACAACAGAACAGTAAAGGGACAACCGGGATCGCTATAAATGTTATCTAAATCACCTAAGTTTTCAATTCCCATGTCCAAAAGGATGAATTTCAATTCCCTTTAATTTTCATCCCGTTTCCTTTTCTTTTCTCTAACTTTCTCTTCGAGCTCCCAAGGAGAAAGTTTCTCTCTAACTCTCTCCGTCCATCTCCAACCACCTATCTTTCGTTCTAGGAACTAATTAGTTTATAGGCAACTAATCATTTCACTGGCTTAACTGGCCAAGTTTAACTCAAACTAATCTTGCTTAGCCTCCAAGAAAGAGATTTTACTGAGTAATTGTGGCTTAACGATATTAGTTTAACTTAAACACCTCATTTACGGTTTTCTAAATCACCCTAGTGTTCAACTCTCAAGTAGAAAAGGATGATTTAGAATTCCCATTAATTTTCATCCTATTTACCATTCTTTCCTCAAACATTCTCTTCTAGCTCGCACGAAGAAAGTTTTTCTCTCTAACACTCTCCGTACTTCTACATCCCTCTCTCTTTTGCTCTAGGAACTAACTAGCTTAGGCAACTAACAGTTTCATTACCTTAAGTGAACAAGTTTAGCTCAAACTAATCACGCTTGGCCTCCAAGAAACAGAATTTGCTGAGAAATTGTAGCTTAACGTTATTAGTTTAACATAGGCACCTTGTTTGAGGTTCTGTAAATCACCTAATTGTAACTTAACGCTATTACTTTAATTTAAGCAGCCCTTGTAATGTTTTCTACATCACCTAACTGTTCAATTCCCAACTCCAAAATGATGAATTTGAATTCCCCTCAATGTTCATCCTATTTCCCTTTTTTTCCTCTAACTTTCCCTCCTAGCTCACAGGAAGAAGGATTCTCTCTAACTCTTCCCGTCCTTCTCCATCGTTCTCTGTTTTGTTTTAGGAACTAATTAGTTTAGGCAACTAATGGTTTTATTTGCTTAACTGACCAAGTTTAACCCAAACTAATCCTGATTGGCCTCCAAAAAAAAATGATAATTTATTGAGTAATTGTGGCTTAACGATGTTAGTTTAACAAAACAACTCATTTAATGTTATCTCAATCACCTAAGTGTTCAATTCTCAAGTCCAAAAGGACGAATTTCAGTTCCCCTTAATTTTCATCCCGTTTCCTTTCCTTTTCTCTAACTTTCTCTTCTAGCTCACAAGGAGAAAGTTTCTCTCTAACTATCTCCGTCCATCTCCAACCACCTATCTTTCGTTCTAGGAACTAATTAGTTTATAGGCAACTAATCATTTCACTGGCTTCACTGGCCAAGTTTAACTCAAACTAATCTAGCTTAGCCTCCAAGAAAGAGATTTTACTGAGTAATTGTGTCATAACGATATTAGTTTAACTTAAGCACCTCATTTACGATTTTCTAAATCACCCTAGTGTTCAACTCTCAAGTGGAAAAGGATGATTTAGAATTCTCGTTAATTTTCATCCTATTTACCATTCTTTCCTTAAACTTTCTCTTCTAGCTCGCATGAAGAAAGTTTTTTTCTAACACTCTCTGTACTTCTACATCCCTCTCTCTTTTGCTCTAGGAACTAAATAGCTTAGGCAACTAACAGTTTCATTATCTTAAGTGAACAAGTTTAACTCAAACTAATCACGCTTGGCCTCCAAGAAATGGAATTTAGTGAGAAATTGTAGCTTAACGTTATTAGTTTAACTTAGGCACCTTGTTTGAGGTTCTGTAAATCACCTAATTGTAACTTAACGATATTAGTTTAACCTAAGTAGCCCATGTAATGTTTTCTACATCACCTAACTGTTCAATTCCCAACTCCAAAATGATGAATTTGAATTCCCCTCAATTTTATCCTATTTCCCTTTTCTTTGCTCTAACTTTCCCTCCCAGCTCACAGGAAAAAGGATTCTCTCAAACTCTCCCCATCCTTCTCCATTGTTCTCTATTTTGTTGTAGGAACTAATTAGTTTAGGCAACTAATTGTTTCATTTGCTTAAGTGACCAAGTTTAACCCAAACTAATCCTGATTGGCCTCCAAAAAAAATGATAATTTATTGAGTAATTGTGGCTTAACGATGTTAGTTTAACAAAACAACTCATTCAATTCTCAAGTCCAAAAGGACGAATTTCAGTTCCTCTTGATTTTCATCCAGTTTCCTTTCCTTTTCTCTAACTTTCTCTTCTAGCTCACAAGGAGAAAGTTTCTCTCTAACTCTCTCCGTCCATCTCCAACCACCTCTCTTTTGATCAAGGAACTAATTACTTTAGGCAACTAATCATTTGACTGGCTTAAGTGGCCATGTTTAACTCAAACTAATCTAGCTTAGCCTCCAAGAAAGAGATTTTACAAAGTAATTGTGGCATAACTATATTAGTTTAACTTAAGCATCTCATTTACAGTTTTCTAAATCACCCAAGTGTTCAACTCTCAATTAGAAAAGGATGATTTAGAATTCCCGTTAATTTTCATCCTATTTACCATTCTTTTCTCAAACTTTCTCTTCTAGCTCTCATGAAGAAAGTTTTTCTCTCTAACACTCTCCGTACTTCTACATCCCTCTCTCTTTTGCTCTAGGAACTAACTAGCTTAGGCAACTAACAGTTTCATTACCTTAAGTGAGCAAGTTTAACTCAAACTAATCATGCTTGGCCTCCAAGAAAGTGAATTTACTAAGAAATTGTAGCTTAACGTTGTTAGTTTAACTTAGGCACCTTGTTTGAGGTTCTGTAAATCACCTAATTCTAACTTAACGATATTACTTTAACTTAAGCAGGCCATGTAATGTTTTCTACATCACCTAACTGTTCAATTCTCAACTCCAAAATGATGAATTTGAATTCCCCTCAATTTTCATCCTATTTCCTTTTTCTTTGCTCTAACTTTCCCTCCTAGCTCTCAGGAAGAAGGATTCTCTCTAACTCCCCCCATCCTTCTCCAACGTTCTCTGTTTTGTTCTAGGAACTAATTAGTTTAGGCAACTAATTGTTTCATTTTCTTAAGTAACCAAGTTTAACCCAAACTAATCTTGATTGGCAACAGGAAGAAACAATGGGTTAGAGTGAGAAGCTCCCGCATCTCTCTAGAAACCTGCGTTTCTAGGGTTTCAATTCCTCGTTGATTAAGATGACAGGAGTTAATGCGTTGC